ATCTATCTATCATCTATCTATCATCTATCTATCTATCTATCTATCTATCTATCTATCTATCTATCTATCTATCATCTATCTATCTATATCTATCATCTATCATCTATCTATCATCTCTCTATCATCTATCTATATCTATCTATCTATCTATCATCATCTATCATCTATCTATCTATCTATCATCTATCTATCTATATCTATCATCTATCGTTGGTAGGAGTAGAATTTGGATAAATATTTTGAATAGCTTTTAACTAATATGTGTTAAAACTCATATAAATAGCAAAAAAATGAAACTGGACCACCAACTTACACCATACACAAAAGTAAATTCAAAATGGATAAAAGACTTAAATGTAAGGCATGAAACCATAAAAGTCCTAGAGGAAAACATAGGCAGTAAAATCTCAGACATCTGTCATAGCAATATGTTTGCTGATACATCTCCTAGGGCAAGAAAGTCTAAGGAGAAAATAAACAAATGGGACTGCATCAAAATAAAAAGCTGCATAGCAAAGGAAACCATCAACAAAACGAAAAGGGAGCCTACTGTATGGGAGAACATATTTGCCAATGACACATCAGATAAAGGGTTAATATCCAAAATATATGAGGAACTCATACAACTTAACAAAAGGAAGACAAAGAATCCAATTAAAAAATGGGCAATGGACCTAAATAGACACTTCTCCAAAGAGGACATACAGATGGCTAAGAGGCATATGAAAAAATGCTCAAAGTCACTAATCATCAGAGAGATGCAAATTAAAACCACAATGAGGTATCACTTCATACCTGTCAGAATGGCTGCCATCAACAAATCAACAAACTACAGGTGCTGGTGAGGGTGTGGAGAAAAGGGAACCCTAGTACACTGCTGGTGGGAATGCAGACTGGTGCATCCACTATGGAAAGCAGTATGGAGTTTCCTCAAAAGATTAAAAATTGACCTGCCATTTGACCCAGTGATCCCACTTCTGGGCATATATCCTAAGGAACCTCAAACACCAATTGCAAAGAATTTATGCACCCCTATGTTCATAGCAGTGCAATTCACAATAGCTAAGATTTGGAAACAGCCCAAGTGCCCATCAGTAAATGAGTGGGTAAAAAAGCTGTGGCACATTTACACCACGGAATACTATGCGGCTGTGAAGAGGAAGGACCTTTTGGCCTTTGGCACAGCATGGAGGGAACTAGAGAGTATTATGCTAAGTGAAATAAGCCAGTCAGAGAAGGACAAGTACCAGGTGATCTCACTTATATGTGAAATATAATAAACAAAATAAACTGATGAACAGAGTGGATCCAGTAACATAGAAGCTTGGAACAAAGTGAGGGATCTCAGAGGGAAGGCGGGGACGGGGATGTGAGTGGGGAGAGATTAACCAGAGAACTTGTATGTTTATAGGCATGGCCCATGGATGTGGACATTGGTGTGGGGAGGGTCTTGGGGTGGGATGGATGTGGGGTGGAGGGGATCAGTGGGATTAAAAGGGGGGCATCTGTAATGGTCTCAACAATAAAGATAAAGAAACATTAAAAAAAAGAAAAAGAGAAGGCAAATAAACTACGTACATAACTGAAAAGAATAAAAAGATGATCTAAAATATGCCAAATTTAATTAGTTCTATACACTTACCAACAACTTCTATAGTCATTGCTATCATGATTACAAAAATTAATAGATAAAAAGTACCTGTTGCCTTGTAAACATAGTTGTAAAAAAAACACAAAAAAACCTCTTATAAATATCGATGCCTTGTGATCCAGTTGTTTTCCTCAGAAGCTATTTAACCTCATGTGCTCATCAGAGATTTCTACAGGATTTGGCAACATTGTAAATATCTAACAATAGAGTTTCAGCCCAATAAATCATAGTATATTCATTCAGGGAGAAACTGTGCAGCCACTAGAATTATATTTTTGAGGGAAATTTAGTGACGTGGAAAAACACTCATAATATATTTTAAGAGAAAGCGGCAGTATACAAAAGTACTTATATTACACAAATATTACATTTGTATGCTGAGTATATGTATATGTCTTTATTAAAAAAAAAAGACTAGAAAAAAATACCAAAATACTACCAATGATTATCTCTAGGTAAGCAGTTCTTATTTTGTGCTTAATTTTTTGTACTTTTTTGTATTTTCAAATTTTTTATGATAAACACATATTGCTTTGTAATTAATAAATGATAAAGGAATTTTAAAAATAGGAGATAAAACACATAATACTGTAAAAGCTATCATATGAGAATTTTACCACAATCTGATTTGTAATCTAGACTTGGGGGGAAAACCACTTACTAATAATTTGACCATTTAGAAATGGAAATTATTCATCTTGAAAGAAATACTTTGTGGAGAGAATTTAAAAATGAAGAGTGATTAAAACATGGAGCATATCTTTATCTCCAAGAGGTACAGTCAGACCTAACAAGTGTGACATTGTGTTTAAATAGTAAATTCTGCATTAGGTTCTTATGGTAGATTATGATAAATTTGGTAGATTATGATAATTTTTCTAATTATAGATTTTTGTTTTGTTTTTGCTCAATTACACAGATTATAATAGTCAACTAGAGAAAAATCAGACAAGAAATAATCCAGCGAGTCATTCTGTTTGCTTACTACCTCACCCCCACCCCCAAAAAAGATTTCTCAGGCACAAAGGTGAAACTGCCTTAACTTGAAAATTTTAAAGTTTGTTTCTTGTAAGAGCTGACCTAAGAGAAAGTCCGTGAAATCCAGACATTTTACTTTCTTTTGAAAGAATTATATATTCACACAATCCTCTCTTCAGTAAGGGAGTGATGGAAGAGTTTGGGGAAAATTGTAAAACTGGAACTTTTCCATACAAATTTGAGAATAGTTTGTCAATTACTACAAAAAGTCCAGCTGTGACTTTGACTGGAATTGAGTTAAACCCCTTGTTTCCTTTGGGGAGAATGAGACATCCTAACAGCATCGAGTCTTCCCTTCCAGAACATAGTATGTCTCTCCAATCACATCCTGCAAATCATAAATGTTTAATAAATATGTTGGATAACTAAGCAGGGGTGCTTAGCTTTCTTCCTGAAGGAAAGGAATTAAGTGTTTCTAGGTGTATTTTACAAGCAAATAACTTGTGCTCATTGAATTTATAGTGTGTATCAGACACTTTATATTATCCTAAGCTTATAGTTAAGGGTTAAGAGCTAGTTAAGCCTCAGAAAGATTAAGATCACATAGCTAGTATGAGGTATAGTTAGAATCCCAAGGTAGATCTTTCCAAAATGTTCTCTTTTTTCATCACTGTATTTCATAGATTCTAAGACACTTTTTTCCTCACTTAAAATAATCCGTGAAATTTTAAAAAGTTTTACAAATGATACATTTTGTTTTATTATTTATTTATTTTTATTAAATTTTTAAATTGAGATATAATTGACATAACAGGTGTGCAATGTAATGGTTCAATATTTATA